AGCTGCTGGGGAAAGACTGCAGCAGCAGAGGGGGGCAGGCCAGGCCTGATGTGCAAAGGCGATTTCCTTGCTCAGAAAGTGTGTCTGGGCTTTGTCTCCTGCAGATCGAAGAAGTCAATCGCCAGGTCACTTCTAGCAGCCAGGACATCCAGACCAGCAGCCACCAGCTCACTGAACTGAGACGCGAAATGCAGAACCTGGAGATCGAACTGCAGGCGCAGCTCAGCACGGTACGTGGGGCAGGATGGCCCAGGGCCCTTCCCTCCTCGGAATGGGCAGGGAGGGGTAGAGCTCTGCTCCTAAACTCCTGCCTTTCCACCTCCAGAAAAGCTCTCTGGAAAACTCCTTGGCAGAAACCGAATCTCGCTACAGCTTCCTGCTCCAGCAAATCCAAGGGCAGATCAACTCTGTAGAGCAGGAGCTGGCCAGCATCCGCTGTGAGATGGGGAGTCAGAACCAGGAGTACAAGATGCTCCTGGGCATCAAGACCCGCCTGGAACAGGAGATTACTCAGTACCGGGCGCTGCTGCAGGAGGGACAGCAGGACATTGGGTATGTGTTCTCTTGGCAAATAAGGGCATCAATTCTATCACAATCTTTTCTCTACGGGGACTCACAGAAGACACAGTAAAATGTTTTACCAGTCTGGAGTTGAAATCTGAACACAGCAGGTTTTTTCACAGCATCTGCGCTGAAATCTATATACCAAAAACTTAATGAGCAGATCAAAGCCAGAGGGAAACACCGAGCACACGGTCACTGATGTATTTCCAGTTAATCAGCTCCTTTTGGCCTGTTTGTGCAGAGTCAGTTCCATGTGAGGAATCACCAGGCAAATCCAAACTGTAACATCCTGCCTCCTGTCAGGAGATGAGTGAGCACGGCTGGACTGTGGGAGTAGAGGAATTATACTTCTAAAGACTTTTGTTATTTCTGCTTCTACCACTTTCTAGGAAAAAACAGCTGAAGGGAACGGAATAAAAAATGATAAAGAAATATTTGCAGGGTCCAGGCAAAGCCAAGGTGTTACATGCACTGCACATGATGTCACAGTGTGTCTCTTTATAAATTCCCTTCATGAAATCTCCTTTCCTTCCACAGAACATCTCAAGGAGGTCTCCAAGGAGGGGGAATATCCTCCCACTCTTATTCTTCTACTTCCTACTCTCATGGTCAATCTGGTGACAAGACAGGTAAGAAACATCTTCCAAAGAGGATCCTAATTTATCCTGCCCCCATGGCTTTCATATTTTGTGTTTCATCTCTTTTCTCGTTAATACTGTCCCTTGTGTTACGGTTTCCACATCTGCAACTGCAACAGGGATTGAACCATTCACAATCAAATCTCTGAATGTCAGGGTGTCTCAGCTGCAGTTACAGACACCGGCGAAGCTCCTTTCCCACACTCTTGCTAACACAGATGGACATTTCAATAGAGGACACATCTGAAATGTCAGTGCTGCAAGAGCCTCTTGATTTCCCCATCAGAGTAATGGTTTCTTCTTCCATTCCACAGGGCAGTCAAGAGTGTGTTAAGACACCACTGAGGCGTTGGTCTTCCCTGACCTGGCCCACAACACGACAATACCCCCCTGTGTACCCACCCAAGGCACAGACTGTCCTACAAGTGTTACCCACAAAGCCGAGATGAATAATTTCTAGGACTCTCCTAAAATGATCTATTTCTTCCTTTTTATATTGTTCTTCACCTGCAATCACTGTATCTACTTACACTCATCTGCAGTGCAATTGGTGAGCTACTTTCGGCTGCTATCAATGCCTCTAATAAAACATTTCTGCAATGCAAAGAAAACTGTGTGTCCAACAATCTATTTGGTATATTAATATTGTATTGAAATGTGAGTGGAACAAACAACATAAACCCTCACAGAGATTAATGTTGAGTACATTATGTAATATGGCCCCAAAGAAGATTGTGTATCCTAACTTCATAGATGTCTGGATAAAATATTGGAGCTGAACAAATAGATTCACATTAAACTCAAGAGTGACACCTACGGGGAGGAAAAAAAAGAAGGGGAAACCTTTTTCACAGTGTACATTGCAGGGGATGTGCAAGTAGCTGATTTGCCAGTTCAGCAGCAGGATTAAGTAACCTCAAAAATTTCATGATGATTTTGGCAAATCAAAACCATTTTCCTTTGGGTCACTGAAGAAGAAATCAATCACATTCAGGCAGCCCTCTCCCACCTTTTAGATGATGGCTCTACCTAATCTTGTTCAATAAAAGGATTAAATCAGGAAATGCTTGATGAGTACACAAAGAAGTTCTCCTTATAACACAAAGTTCAACTGTAAGGATCATTCCTCCTGACATGTTGGAAGATCTGGGCTCAGGTCTTTTATCTGGTGATTCAAAATAAAGCGAGTGATATCCAGGACCCGCCTGGATGCCTTCCTGTGTACTCTCATTTAGGTGTTCCTGCTCCAGCAGGGGGATTGGACTGGATGATCTTTTGAGGTCCCTTCCAATCCCTAATATTCTGTGATTCTGTGATTCTGTGAGTGTGTACACTGCTTTCATAGGACAGCATTCCTGGCTCCGTGGCTGTGTGGCATCCTGGATGGATGGATGGAAGATGGAGGGAGGGGTGGAGGCAGGGTTCACTCTTCCTTACTAAAACTGCTCCATTTCATGTAACACACTTATATCAGGCAGAAAAATTGAGCTCACTCATTTAAAACTTACTAACCTGTATGTCAGTCTTTGATTTGCAGTGGGCTGGGAAAGCAGCTGAACAGGGTCTACCACATATCAGGTGAGTGATTCAGCTGCCGCCCTGTACCAAATAAGGGTGGGTCTCACAAGCCTTCATTGTTCTCTGAACAGCACATAAATCACTAGCATTTTTTATTCTGTCAAACAGCTTTGCACTTGCACTTTGGTTTGCAAACAGATCCAGGTCAGGTAAAATATACTCTTTTTAGATAACAATGTATTATTTAAAAAGGCATCAAACTGTCTACATGTTACAGTCCAAAGCTGAACTCTCAGCACAGCAGAAAAATGAGATGAGTCAGAGAAAATATTTCCCTAGAAAACAAAGGAGACTTGTAAAGTCAAAGCAAAAATACCTCTCCCTTGAGTCACAACAGGACTCGTGCTCCGGTACAAGACAGAGACTCATGTTCTGCCGCATGCTCCATTTTACTTCTCCTATCAACTGCAATGGACTTGGGGATGAAAGACACTATTTGACCACAGTTTAAGCAGAAAGAACGTTTCTGAGCCCAGAAAGGAGCCAAGTGTGTTCTAGGTTGCCTGTCACAACATTCTCAAGTCTCCTGCTTCCCTTCTGCTGTCTCTCCCAAGTGGGAAAAGGGAGAAGCCTCCGTGTTGGGTGTGTCCCCTCAGTCCCTGCAGAGCATTTTAAGGGCAGAGCGCATCCACCTCTGCCTCTCCTTTGGCTTTGCTGGGTGGAGCCGGTGGGAAGCACTTACCAGAGCATCATCTGCCCATCCTAACACCAAAGCCTGGTGAGCAGAAATCAGCCTGCAGCTGCAGTGCCAGCACAAGGGAACACTGTACTCTGCTCTTTGGTGGTTCGGTGCCGTTCTGTCCCTTTAGCCAAGCACTCAGCAGAAACAAGTCCCACAGTCTGGGACAAGGGCAAGGCTTCCAAAGCTGAGTGTGCAGCCCGACGGTCCACACAGCATCCTCTGGTGGCAAAGTCCAAAGGTAGACACCAGGATTTGGGACAGAAACTGCTCAATACAGCCTCAAAACTAGATTCAAGCCTCAGACCCGGGAAGTGGGTAGGCCAAGGAAAGAATAGCTTAAATGATAATAAAATAGATAGGTTTTCACAGGGGTGATATCGTGATACCAGATGGGGCAATAAACCAATCAACAGACAGTAAAAAGGTTAGACATTAATTCATTACAAAGGACAGGGAAGAGAAAGAGAGGAAGCATCTGTTTCACTTAATTCTGCCTGAAGGTTTTGAGGTAATTCCACACAAAATCATCAAATTCAGATTAAGTCAAAACCTCCTGGATTGTTCTTGCACGTGTTTAGTCAGCGTTGAAGTTGTTCTGTCTCTTTTCAACTAATTTAGTAGCAACAGTGGCTGGTACAGACAGACACGGAGCCTGGTGTTGCCAAGTGAAGAGGAGAAGAATTTTAGTAGGAATAAGGTTCAACCAAACGGTGCTGTGTTTAAAAACCGGCCTGTAGAGGGGACTGTGGAGATACCGACATCCTCTACTGGTACTAGTTCCAGAGGCAACCAAAGGTGGTGTGTGTTGTAATCTTTGGGTGTGTTTGAGTTTCTCAATTCTGGAAATTCATCATTACCACCTGCATAATACAACATTTCCAGGAGTTTAGATGAAGATGAGAGGGGGAAATAGCTGGATAGAGAAGAATCCAAAACAAGAACCAGAAATTAGTGGCCTGAATTCTCTGAGGGGCTTGATGCTGGATCAGGCAGGATCTGGATCCACAGCAGATGTTCTCATTTACAAATGCAGCTGCCAGGTGTGGACAGTACAACAGCCCATTGCTCCTAATCCTGCAGCTTTGTGCACACTCTTCCCAAAGTCTCTTGCACTGTTGGCTACAAGGAAATGGAATCACGGAGGCAGCGCCTGCAGCCTGGCCAGGCCCCTTCACTCCAACCAGCCTTCTGCCAGGTAGACCCACCTCCCTCTTGGCCCCCACCACTGTCACAAGTCATGGAAAAAGAAAGTCTGTGATTCACTGTGTCTCTGATAAAAAATCAGACTGAAGGAAGCTCCTTCTGTGATACTTCTCACATTTACCAGTCAACCATAATCATGAAAAACAGCAGCAATCAAGTTAAGCAAGTACAAAAATTCTTGGGGGAAAACCCTTTTTTTCTGTGTTCCCAGCACCACATTTCTGTCACGTTTCAGGTGATATATAACATTTTGGAGTGGTAATCCTCACAAACTTCGGAATGTTTTAAAGTACTTTCACACAATGACAGATATGAAGGGCAAATGCTCTCTCATGGTTGCTCCAGTGAACGCGCAATTTCAGGTGCACAGGAGCTGACTCTCCTAACCTTATTTAGTGCTGCCTAAAGAGAAGTTTATGCACGCTGCAATTACTCCTAATAACCCCCTAGTTACGAGCCCACGCGCAGAGAAGCCCTGCAAAGCCTGGCTGCAGGGAACACCTTTCTGCTGGCACAACTCCTGCTCTCAACCAGCCCTGGCAGCCGAAGCGCGACTGCAGCAAGGGCACTCACAGCCTCATTAATCACAGCTCCTCACACCACTGCTAATCTCAGTGCAGCTCTTTCCCACAACCCCATGTCAAACCGTTAAAAATCATGGCAGTACCAAAAAGTTCATAGTGATTACACACACACACAGATCTTAAATCCTGACAACTCCTTTCTGGTGAGAATGCTGTTAGAAATCCTGTCACTAGAATCTTTGGGGTTTTGTTAGTTATTAAAGCTGAGTCCATAAGAACAGAGTGAAAAGGCACTCAGCAAGTATTTCAGCCAGCTTGATCTGGCGGTGGTGGGCTGCCCATAATCTAGACACTTGGCACAGACCTTAGTGTTTAATGAAAAGAAGATTTAAAGCTCAACACAAGTGTCAGAGGCTGGTGGAAAACCATGGTTCTCAGTTACAGTCAATACCCAGGACTGTCCAGGAAGGTAACCTGCCTGATACACACAAATACTGTGAAATTTGCTTAAAAACTGTGTTTTGGAAATAGAGCAAACTGTTTGAGTAATTAGAAACACCCTTTTCCTTCCCTGAAGGCACGCAGTCATTCTGGGCACACAAACCCAGGGTGTTTCCCCATGAGCTGATAGT